GTCTCGTCCGCGGTTTCTATGAGTGTGCCCTTCACTATTGGAAAGCTCATCGACTACTTCTCGTCTAATGATCCTGTGAGAATAATTTGTCTTCATTCTGGACCGATTGTATTAACATAGCCTATGTTGCAGCAAATTCCCTTTGGTTTAACAACTTGGCAGGCTTCATTTGGGCTCTTCTTACTCTTTACGATCGGAGGGTTTGCCAACGCTGGTCGAGCAATGTTAATGAGGCTATCAGGTACACGCACATGAACTCTCATGTTTTGTTTGTGTCCAACTAATTTATACTTGCGTCATCCAGGACAAAGAATTGTTGCTCGTCTTCGTGAGCGTATGTATGGCGCTGCGCTCCGGCAAGAGGTTGAATTCGTTGAACGAGGCGAAGGAGACGTGTTAAGTCGGCTTAGTGCCGATGCGAGTATTGTCGGAGAAAGGTATGATATCTCAATATGGTTCATGGCGCGTATTAACCCTCATTTAGCGTAACTCAGAACCTTTCTGACGGTCTTCGCGCTGTTGTAATGTCCACTGTTGGATGTGAGTGTTGCAATTGGTAGAGGACTCGTAATCTCACACATGCTCCTAGTGGGTGCTATGTTCTACGTCTCGCCAACCTTAACGGCTCTTATGCTCGCTGTTGTGCCACCTGTCTCTCTTGGAGCTGTAGGTAAACCGGGCTTTATTGAAGTGTCAAGCTCACCTCTTCCGCTCAGGTTTTCTACGGACGATACCTAAAGAAGCTTTCAAACAAAACACAGGAAGCCATGGGTGAAATGACCAAGATCGCAAATGAGTCTTTATCAGCACTGCGCACCGTCCAATCTTTCAACGCAGTCCCACAAGAGGAGAAGAAATTCCATGAACGCATTCAAAAGGTTTTGGTGCTTGCCAGGCGTGAGGCAATCGCTAGTGGAATCTTCTTTGGAAGCACTGGATGGAGTGGAAATGTGACCATTCTAGCTTTACTTGGATATGGTACGCGATCGACGAACTTTTATAGTTCATGATCTAACATTGGCTCTAGGAGGGACACTCGTTTCACAGGGTGCCATTACTGTCGGAGACTTAACCAGTTTACTTCTCTATACGGCATACGTAGGCAGTGGTCTCCAAATGCTCACGTATGTGGCTCTCTCCACTCCTAAGTTGCAGATCATTAAAAAAGTCTAACCCCCATCGTCATTAGGTCCTTCTTCGTAAGCCTGCAACTTTTAAATCTCCAGGAGCTGACGTTGAAAATTGATTATGCAAGTCCTCCATCATGCGCGGAGTTGGAGCAGGAGAACGTATTTTCGAAGTCTTAGAGAGGACACCTGTCATTCCTCATGGTGTTGGCCGTGAAGTTACCCGTGATCATCTAGGTGTCGTGCGTTTTGATAATGTAGGGTTCGAATACCCCAGCCGTAAAGGCGTAGAAATCCTCAAGGACTTCAATCTTGAGATTGGTGTTGGAGAGAGTGTGGCTATTGTGTACGTGGTTTCTGTCATCGGTTATACTTGGAAGGTATCTTATCTTAATATCCACAGCGGAGAGAGCGGAGGTGGAAAGTCTTCAATTCACTCGCTGCTTTTAAGGTACTATGACCCTATCCGAGGGAAGGTAACTTACGACGGTGTTGGTATGTGTCTCTCTAATGCTATGTCAGTATGAGCTCATTTAACATCCATCGGCTGTTTTTTCTTCTTCCTAGATATCCGGGAATTTTCTACTACGTCATGGCGACAAATTATAGGAGTTGTACCCCAGGATCCGGTACTGTTCACTGGCACAATTGCGGACAATATTGCATTCGGCAATCCGGATGCGACGAGGGAAGAGATTGAACAAGCCGCACGCGAAGCCAACTGTGAATTTGTGTGGGGCATGCCCAAGGGATTTGATACTCCAAGTGAGGATAATGAAGTGGTGTTCTGGGTCTCTTTGCTGAATTTTTTTCTTGCAGTTGGTCGACTTAGTCTGAGTGGTGGACAGCGTCAGCGACTAGCTATTGCCCGTGCCTTGTTGAAGAAACCTGTTATTCTTGCTCTGGACGAAGCTACCTCTTCTCTGGATGCTACCTCGGAGCGAAGGGTAAGCAACGTCCTTACAAAGCAACTGGAGGATCGTCCCTCAACTCCTTATTCATTTAGGTCAATGATGCCGTGGATAGAATTCTGCGATCAAGGAGTACAACGGTCTTGTTTGTGGCTCACCGCCTTTCCACAATTGCCAGAGCGGAGAGGATCGTCGTTTTGGAGGGGGGAAGGATTGTGGAGTCGGGGACGTATCGAGAACTTGTAAGCGACTTGATCATGACACGATTTTCTATTGGTTGGATGATCGCTAAATTCGTACATCCCCTACCCCCTTGACATCATAGGTTGATAAGGAAGACTCTCGTTTCCGCGCTTTGATGGCTGCACAGCTGAATGCAGCAGCTGGCGAGAGTTTGGCAGCTAGCGACGCAACAGCAGGACAAGAACCGGAAGTTGAAGAGGTGGTAGAGGAAGTGGTAGAGGAGACTGTTGAAGAGGATGCCCAGTCGTCTGCTGATGTGGTGGAAACTATGGCCACCCCATCTTCCTCTCGCTCATGATCTAACCGATTAAAGGCCACTGAGTGACAAGTGTATTTTTCTGCATTCACCATTTCTCCTAACATTCCCCCGGATAGACCAGGCATTCTCTCAGTACTTTTAACCAGCAGCTGCATGCCCCCCATCGCTCATTTATGTATAACTGATTTTATCATTAATAGGTACCTGGTATCAGATTTATAGACACCCAATACACGGCACAATATAGATTGTTTGCTATCTTATTGCATCAGGAATTCGTAATCGTACTTAGAGGCTGTAACTCAGTGTGCGTCATATTGCGTAGCTGAGTGGAGCTCTGGTCTGGACGCGGTTGATGGGAGGTGAACCAATCAACACATTGTTGGAATGGTGGCATCAGGTTCCCGCGTGCCCAAGTGGCCAACTTGCATGTGTTGTGACATCATAACCTGGTCATATAAAAGCTATGGCTTGTGGGATCGCGCTCGATAGGCTCCTTCTCCTAGTGACCTAGACACTCTGTCCCGTTGTCGACTGATTATATTACCAATTCAAGAGCCATGACACCGCCGACGCCGACTGCTACGACTGAGAATGGCTCTCCACTCGATGCTACTCAAAACCATAACGACGTTTCTGCTGAGGACAATGTTCTCAAAGCCAATAAGGCCATTGACGATGTCAAAGGACCTATGCATGATTTTAAGGTTTGTCTTCCGCCCTTGGCTTTCTTATATCTTACCGGCGAGTGTCGTCATTAACTTGACCCGGCCCCCCTCCGTCTCTCCGCTACTGCTTAATGATTCGTTTCTGACATCATTTCCCATCTGCTCTGTCCCATTTTATGCACTCTAGGAAGCGTTAGATGGCTTACACAGCCACTCTATTCAGCTTGCGCTGCTCGGAAATGGTTTAGGAGGCAAAGAGGATGTTCTGAGGTTGGATGGTTCGAATGTCATGACATACGAAATAATGAACGTTTTCTTGTCGATACTAGCCTGCAACACCAAATGCATGACCAGCATGTGAAGCATACAGAAGGCATCGCAGAGATCCAAGGTATCCGTCCCCCCGATATGTGTCTTTTTGCTGAAGAAATTGAGTCGGCCACTCGATGTGATCGCCTCCCATTTAGGCATACTTGACGAGCTATTACAGAACAACGTCGTCGACGAAATGAAAGATCAGGGTTACTAATTCTAGATCCGTTTTCCGTGTCTTGCCATCTAACTTGGCTTCCTTTTCCCCCGTCCTTTTCCCATCTATCCTATTTTGCTAACAGTGGAGCAAGAAATCACCGATCAGATCGACGAGCTCGTCAGGGCACACGTTGCAGAGTGTCTTCGCGCCCATATTCCGCAAGATCTTCAGGATGAAATCGCCAGCAGCAAGCGTGAGCTGGAGAGGCTCACTCATTCGTTGCACAATTCGTATGTCTTATTTACTTGGCTCGGCATTTGTCGCTCGAGATTTTTACTTGACATCTTTCAGCGAAAGTCGCCGCGCGAACGCCGATCTTAGGTCTGACAAACCTGAAAGCACCCTGGCAACCATGAGGATGCCAGATGACGGTAAAGTAAGTACTCATTACCCCAAGGATCTCAAGACCCTCTTCGGCCTCGACAGTCAGTGGATTCTCGATTGTTACGCGACCTTCTTGCGCTAACTCACCGCCAAACAGATAATACCACTTTAGCGCTCATGAGTGACTATGACATCGAAAAGTCCCCTGGAAGCAGTGAAATTGTCAACCTCAACAAGTTCATCCATTTCTGTGGGGTGAGATATCAATTGGTCGGCTTGCTTTCTTGTTCCATTTACCACTTTCCCCCATCGTGCTTACTTCAATCTAGGTTCGCCGCCCGGTGAGCGCAGGGAATCCGCAATGAAGGATGCCCTCACAATTGTCCACCATAGACACATTCCCCATCAATATCGCAGAAATAACGCACCGCCAGTCGCATCGAAACCCATGTGCTCCAGATACACGATTCGGAGATGATAGCCGCGAACACTTCGTACAATCCACCGCCACAACGCCAATTCCCTCGACGGTATGATACGCCAGATCCACGCTGGATGTGCATCACGCTTTCACCACCTTATATACAACACGACCGACGGGTGCCCAACATAAACACATCCAGAAATATATGAAGAAACCCACACAACATACAATAACAAACAGAATTCTTTTCAAATCTATATAATGCGCTCGCTATAAATATTTGTTTTCGAACGAGATCTTTTGTTGAACAATATGATCACATGTTCTTGACCTTGTTAATTTCATTGAGGGTGGCAATGGGAGTGATGAGGACGTCTTCAAACCAAAAGAAAGTGGATGCTTTTTCTTTGATTTATATATAGAGGGATTCACAATCAACAGAGAAATGGGCAAAAATAAGCAGGTTGAAAAATAAAAACAAACGTGCTCAATCAGGGATTGAACTCGCGCGATCCGACCTGCCTGGCTCGAACAGGCGACATTGAGATATTCCGAAGAAGGTATCCGTTACAGTCTCACGCTCTTCCAACTGAGCTAAGGTCGGTTGTTAAGTGTGTAGATTAAAGTCCACATAACCAGACCCTGCACCAAAAGCGACATGGATTAAACTAAGCCCCTAACTATAATCTCATGCAACAACCACTGCACCAATGCAATCCTTACCGACCTCCGGAGGTGAGGCCATCTACACTTAGATCAAACCAAACTCGGTTCGCCTAGACAACACGATCTCCCATCTTCTGAGATGCAACATGAGAGAGCGACATATCTGTATAGGAATACGATCACAGGATAGACTCTGACGCCATCGAGGTGGGAAGACAGTTTACTAAGCCTCCTAGATAAATAGCGCAGACCAAGTCTCACTTTCCCCTTTCCTAAGAAACCTTGTCTTTCAAGTTGTAACTACATCATGGGCATTCCTGACGCAAATATATTCCCTCATGCCACCGCTGCCGCTGCCGAAACAGTGGCCAAGCACCAAGAGCCACAACCACTCGTTTTTCACGCTGGTTGGGTATGTTGTTTAGCCTAACTATTGCGATGTGTGCGAGGTTGATTGTAGGTAGTTCTGTCCATTTGTACAACGTAGCTGGATTGCTCTGGAGGAGAAGGGAATACCATATCAATATAAAGAAGTAAACCCGTACAACAAGGAGCCGCATTTCTTAGGTATGTGTGTTTCACACTCCGAGTAGTAATCAGAAGAGCTAGCTTGCTGAACCAAAAGACAGCTATAAACCCAAAGGGCCTGGTACCCGCCGTGGAGTTCAAGGGCAAAGCGTTGTATGAATCCCTTATCATCAACGAATTTTTCGAAGATGCTTTCCCTGAGTACAAGCCCCTGCTTCCAAAGGACCCTGTCGATCGTGCTATTGCACGAATTTGGTTGGATCATCAAAGCAAGACCTTTATACCTTCTTTCCATCGGCTGCTGAGCGCACAGGATAAACAAGCTCAAGATTCCGCCCGCCAGGAACTGTACGATTCGCTGCGCAAGTATATGAAGAATGTTAAAGGTCCATATTTCTTTGGAGAGGAGTTCTCGCTTGTCGATATTGCGATCGCACCATGGACGGTGAGGGACTATGTCTTGATAGAGAATCGAGGGTACAAACGTGAGGAGGTGGGTGAGGGGTGGAAGGAGTATGCTGAGAGGGTTGCCTCAAGGGATACCGTCAAAAGAACAGAAAGTGTAAGCGACATCATAGGCTTGCTGGGTGACCTGAGGCAAACTGACGGTCCTTCCTTTCAGCTGCGTGAGCATCTCGACGTGATTTACGGTCGCTATCTGCGCGACGAAGCTCAAAGTGAGGCTGCGAAGGCTATCCGGGCGGGTCGAGTAATACCGTGAAGCAAGCAGTAGCCTGTTGTTTTTATCCCTTAAATTGTCGTTATGTATATGAAACCTGTATATAAAAAAGGACATGAAAGTTCAATGTACTGTTATGGAAAGCAGACACCATAACACACCTAGAAAATGAGGACGCTATGACACTGACAGTTCAGTCAAGATACAATCCAAACCATCCCACTTTCCGGCAAGGACTATGAATATTCTTGAGAAAGTTAGGGATGCTAGCACATCGAAAAGAATCATGGACTATTTGTCATGCGAGTAGTATCATGTTGCATGGAAATATGGGTTTAGTGACGGTCTTTGGTCGCCTCAAGCGGTCAGCTGTTCGATAGAATAGCCAGTGAAATCAAGGAAATAAACACAAGGATGTTGGAGACAGGAGCCTTCCGAGTTTCGTCCAGCTCATGACGATCAAGAACAAAAAGGTTCCACACGGGTGTGTTCAGCCGTTGTCCCTCGCTTAATGATTGATCGCTAATCGGCTTAATATAATAATCATAGTCTCCCCGCAAACAACTTCGGCCTTGTTGCTTTCCTTCTTCCATCTCTCTGTTACTTTTTTTCGGAAACCTCAAGCCTGCGTCCATATGAGCAGAGCTACCCCCATTTTATCCCATACCCACTAATTCTTTACTATACTTGACGCCATGAACTCATTAACGACTGACATGGGCCTGAGGGTGGGCCCGACGATGCTAGAGGTCTTCGTGAGGCACTACTTTGATAGGTTAAAGAAGGATGTTCGCGAAGGAGATTCAGGTTCAACGCGTCTGAAGGAGGGTGATGTTCTATTTGACGAGGCTTTTACCATTGTCAAGGTGCGTGAATTGTAATGGGACATGTCTATTTTGTGCTCACTTATTCACGACATAGGCTTTTCTGAATGCATCAACACTGTAAGAAAGCTCATGATTCCTACTATAGTTCCTATACTCAATCTCGTCCATCAGACATACTGTGGAGGAACTGCAAGGTAAACTTCTGTTGCACGTTCTCCTGGCAGTGTATGTATTGACGGCCATTCTCTAGGATTCTCCAACACGCGTACACCCTCTCCACCATGGGTTCATGTCGTCAGGTCCATCGTACCAATGTCCTGCTGTGAACAAGCAGCAACCTACCTTATTAAAGCGCTCGGTGGCGAAGAAGTAGCGCGAAGACTTGTGGGCGGAGTCAAGTGGTGGCAAGTTCGGGGTGTCAATGGGTATGTTCAGTGAACATTCCATAGTGCTGTCCTTATAAGGAGATCCACCATTTAGAGTTGATGCTCAATGGATTACCGCCAAGAAGGATTGGCAGGAGGCTAAACGAAGAGATAAGATGGAAAAGGAGCAGAAGACGGCAGAAGGCTCAAAAGCGTCGACTTCAGCGTCGACAGAACAGGGGCCGAACACGACGGAGAATGGTACCTACGAAAAGGAGATGGATGCCATGCGATGCATCCTCTACTTGCACGGAGGTAAGTACTTCAGTACATGTTCGACCATAGCGAATGAAGCCTCACGTTTCTATTTATAGGTGGGTATTACTTCGGAAGCGTCGACCAGGAGAGGTCAGTAATAGACGATAAGCGAACGTTTGATTGTCTGTTCTGATACCCAGGTTTAACAGATATAGCATCCAGAGACATGCGCGCAAAATAAATGGTCGAGTTTTTGGTGCGTTTTCGCGTCCTCCTTGCTTTAATACTCTGCTAATGACGACGCGTGCCATTTAGCAATTAATTATCGTCTCGCACCCCAATATCCCTTTCCTTGTGCTATACAGGATGCTGTTGCAGCTTGTAAATAGTGACCCTTACTGAGCATATCTTATTGAGCTGAATAGTGTTTTTTCTAGACTTATTCTTGATCCAGCCACCTCCTGGCTCTGAACATGAGCCTGTAAAGCCAGCCCACATCGTCATTGCAGGTGACTCTGCTGGGGGAGGGCTATCATTGGCTCTCCTTCAAGTCATTCGCGATAGCGGTCTTCCCCAACCAGCTGGAGGAGTATTGATCTCTCCTTGGTGCGATTTGAGCCACTCTTTCCCCAGTATTCACCAGAATACCGCCACAGTAAGTACCGCACTGATAACTCGATGGCCTTATGATAGACTTTACTTTCAAGGACATTATACCGGAGAGTGGACTTTCATTTCACAAACCAAGCATCCTTTGGCCTCCTCCGACTCCCGAAGTCTCAACACGTGTCCACGCCTCGATTCGTTTCCGCATCCGTCAAACTCTCAGACTCGATGACCCCAAACGATTCAACTCTACTTCAACTGTGCTGCACGAAAAGGAACTGCAGACACCTGCCGTTGCTACAGACCCACATCTGGAGGCTTTGCCGATTCCTTTGACAAATTCTATTGATGCGCAGAGAGTTAAGGTTACCACGAAGGAAGGTGAGGTTGAGGTCACAGATCAACTCCACTTCTACACGCAGAACCATCTTCTCAATCATCCTCTCGTGAGCCCTGCACTGTCTTACCTCGGAGGGCTTCCACCTTTGATGTTTATCGAAGGAGACAAGGAGGTCTTGCGAGACGAAGGAATTTATACGTATGTTCATATCGGGACTTGTGTGAACAGTTCAGCTTATTGTTATATAGTGCTCACAGAGCTGCTCACCCAGACAAATTCCCGATTACAGACAAGGCCAGGGAATTGTACCCCCCTTTGGTGGGAATCGAAGAGAGATACAAGTCGAAGCCAACCTCTGTTCATCTCCAAGTCTATGATGGTTAGCCACACTTTCCTATATTCCATGCGTTATGTTCTGACACGGATGTTAGATGCTCCTCACGTCCTTCCCGTTCTCTTCTCATTTACGACGCCTTCGAAATTCTGTTTCCGTGCTATGGCCAACTTCGTCAAGCTCGTCACTGATATGACCCTGACGAGCAGTGCCTCACCCCGTCTCACTTCCCCAACCATCACGCGCCGTGCTTCTCTGCTTGCCGCTTTCCGCTCAAATACCCAAGCCCCCCGTGTGCGAGAGAGTCACAGTATGGACTCTGGAGAAACAGAGAAAGCCAAGAATCGGGTTTCGAACGACAAGGTAGAAAAGATAACGACGCCACCTCTGACGGACGAGCCCCAGGGCATGATACCTCCCTCCGTGACAGCGTCTAAACTGCATCTATCCGGGTCAAGTCCTTCCCTTAGACGATCAGTGTCCGCCCGCCTGTCAAGAGCCAGTTCTTTCTTGAAAAGGAATCCCTCTGCCAACCCCTCTATAAACGGCAGCGCCAGTAGCCACTCAGAAATTAAGGAAGAGAATGATGAACCTAGTCCAACGCAACAAAACTCGGTGGGCACTACTTCTTCTGATGTTGGTGGTCCCAGGTTCCAAGTTAAGGCACCACCCCCTAATATTTCGACCGCACGGACGGCTGGAGAAGCTGTTGTGTACGCTGAAATTACTGTACGCAATTCGTCTTGTTTATGTTGTATCATCACTCATTACATTTTTGCTTCCAGAACCGCACACAGTGGGAATGCGGGATGATTCGTGAACGTGTCTCAACTACAGGCGTCATCAGACCCCTGGAGCCTGAAGACGAGCTGCAAGCCATGAAAGTTCCTCAAGAAATCATTGGGCAAATGTCATCAATGACCATGGAACGGTATCTCAAAGACAGAGATCGGTTCGACAAGAAGTTCCGTCGTGCGATCAAAAGTATTGAAAAGCACCGA